ATGGGTACACCAGAAGAGTCGAGCGTCGAGTTGGATGAAAATTTCCGAGCAAAGCATTCAGCCTTGTCGGTAGAGGAGGTCAAGACTTCGAACTGGTTGAATAGAGGAGGTTTAGAGTGTTTGCACTTATTCAATACACTCTTGCAGAGACGCCAATAATCTTTGGAGCCAAATTTGCGAGATGCAATACGTTCCTTCATTCGAGCCGCAAATAGTGACTTAGCATCATTTAGGACACGCTTACAATCGTTACGGGCGGCGGCAAAGAGACGTCTATTGCAGTCAGACATGTCGCTACGGTATAGGTGGAAGTAGTGGTTCCTATGGGCGATGGCGGCTGAGCAAGCAGCCGAAAACCAAGGGCAGGAGCTCGTCTTAACCCTATATTTCCTTGCTGGGATGAAAGCGTCGATTCCAGCTTTAACCCAGGAAGAGACCTCAGAAGCACATTCTTGGACGGGGAGCTTAAAGACTCCATCCCAGGGGACATCGCGGAGGAAATCACGGAACGCGTCCCAGTCAGCTGTTGATAATAGAACGAAGTTCTAGTGGTAGGAGGTTCTTTATAGGGGAGGAGTTAAAGGAGATGTTAACCGATACTACTGCATGGTCAGAGTTACCAAGTGGGCATAGTTGCGAGGCGCTGCAGGATTCGGGGATGGAGGTAAAGCACAGGTCGAGTAGAGAGGCTTTACTTAACCGGTTGAGGGCAAAACGAGTGGGGAAGTTAACTATCTGTGTGAGGGAATGGGAGATTGAAAAATTAAGCGTTTGAATGCCTGCATGGTCAGTAGTAGCATTCTTAAGCCACAGAGTGTGATGGGCGTTAAAGTCTCCAAACACAAAAATGTGAGCAAACGGGTGGAGGGAGAGAGCCTTGTCTATGTTGGCAGAAATGCTATCAAGTATCTCACAGTCTTGAGAGGATGGAGAGCGGTAAAGGAAGAAGAGATAGCTTACTGCATTGAGGGAGAGAGAGACGGAGACACATGTATGACTGGTCAGGCGATTCAGAGAGGACTCTCTGGTCAGGGGAGATGTTCCTTGACGTAGACACCAAGACCGTGCATGTGGGTTAGAGAGTCTTTTCTGAGGAGAGGAAGATAGCCGGGGATCGAGAGATCAGAAGAGGGGATAGATGAGACAAGGTTTGTCTCAGAGAGCAAAGTACATCCGGGCCGTTTGCAGAGAGGAAGGATTCCAGACTGTAGAAGTTTGTTCTAATGCCCCGGATGTTGGAGAATGAAATGTTGAGGGGTTTAGGTGGTTTCTGAGATGCTGGTTTAGGTAAATCTTTCGGTTTTTGTAACTCATGTTGGATTTATTTGCAAAGATGAGAAGGCCTGAGGTAAAGAAAACAGACAGTTTCGACCGTGACGCGGGGAGAGGAGTTGGCAAAATCCGCATCATTATGTGGCCTCAGGGCTGCCCACCGGAGGTGACTGCAGGGACACCTTTCCACGCGCGACATGGCACTACAAACACCCCGGTATTATACAACTGTTGATCAGAGCAGCCGCTCAAGACGCTACGCAAGAGTTAGGGCTCCTAACTACCAGTCGGAAACAGCAACCAGAGAACTGTCAGCCGTGTACCCTCAGAATGAAGAGATGTTGCCACAGACTGCACGCATCACGGGAGAAACAGACCTGCACTAATACAGAGGCCGGAGAGAGAAGACAGTACTGGGAACCCCATCCTAGACAAGAAACAAGGTGTAAGCCTCTACTCATGTCCCAGAAGAAGGGGAGGAGGTTGACCGGGCGGTAGAAGGACTACCTACTCCTATTACAGATAAACAAAAAGGACGACACAAAAAACAGAGGGAAGGATTGGAGGGGAGATAACAGGTAAGGAGTCCTGGTTCACAAATGGCTATACTTTATCACATTAAGTTTTAACTTAGTATAAGTCCCATTGTCTATTCTAAAAAGAAATTGAAAATACGGTTACCCGGATTTATTATCACATCCAGTAGAAGACATTCAATTTTCCATTTTTCTAGTTTTTTACTTTGTTAACATTTCGGATCGGGATTCCTTACTAAATTATCAAATAAGTAGCATCACTGGGACAAAATGCCTTCGGTAGGGAGGAGGGAGGGAGGGGAAAAAAAAAAATTTAAAAAACGGAAAAAAACGAAAAAAAAAAAAAAATGAAAATGTAAATGGAGACGGGAGGGAGGGAGGGGGTAACTGCAGGAGGTGTCTGTTGTCGACCTGGTGGGGGAGGAATCAAAAATAAGGGGGAAAATTTAAAAAAAAAAAAAGAATGCGAAAAAAACATTTCCACTTTCAAAATATAAAATGCAAAAAAGAAAGTCACAAAAAAACGAGACACCCTCGCATCTAGTCAAAGACATTCAATCTTCCATTTTCTAGTTTTTTACTTTGTTAACATTTCGGATCGGGAATAAATTATCAAAAAGTAAACTGGGAAAATGCCTTCGGTAGGGGAGGAGGGAAGAGGGAGGAGGGGGAGGGGAAGGAAAAATAAAAATTTAAAAAAAAAAAAATGAAAAATGAAAATGCAAAGAAAAAAAGAAAGAAGTATGAGATGAATAAATAAAGTAAAGAAAGAAAAGAAAAACGAAAGGTAAGTGTCGAAATACGAAAGAAAATAAACGCCTCAAAGAAAGAAATAGATAGAGAGAGAAAAAATAAGGAAAAAGAAAAAAAATGAAATGGAGAAAAAAGAAATAAGAAAAAAAATGATATGGAGAAAGAAATAAGAAAAAAATGAAATGGAGAAAGAAAGAAAGAAAGAAAGAAAGAAAGAAAGAAAGAAAGAAAGAGAGAGAGGGGAGGAGCGAAAAATATAGAAAAAATGGAGATAAAATCTGGCATACAATAATGAATAAACAAGATCATGAGGAATGGAGGAAAGAAAAAAGAATGGAGAAATTTACGATTGTGAAAGAAGAAAAAAAGAAACAAAGAATTAAAAAAAGGAAAAAAAAAAAGAAAGAGAACTGGAAATAAAGAAAGACCACAAAAGAATATCTGACAAAAGATAATAATGAGAAAGTGAGAGAAGGAGATGAAAAGATGTATAAAAAAAGGGGAAAAAAACAAGATAAAGTAAAGACTGAGAAAAAACGAAAGAATAAAGAAAGGAAAAAAAGAAGCAACAAAGAATAGCACGATGATAAGAAAGAAAGAATTAGAACGAATGAAAAAGATAAATGGAAAAAGATATGAATAATGAAGCAAAAAGAGGACAAACTAATGAATGTAGAGGGAAGGAAAGAATGGAAGGAAAAAAAGTGAAAGAATACAGAAACAAAAAAAAAAGGAAGGAAGCCTAGAGACGAAGAGAAAGAGAAAAAACATGTCAACAAAAACAAATAAAAAAAATATGCAGAAGGAAAAATAAATGAAAGAATGAACTGTAGGATCGAGAAGAAAGTAAAAGGAAATGAATACTGAAAAATAAACAGTAAAATCTAATGTTTGAGGAAGGAAAGAAGGAAGGACGAATGATAAAATGAAATGACACATAACAGAGAAAAACATGGTGGCAAGAAAGAAAGAAAGAAAGAAAGAAAGAAAGAAAGAAAGAAAAAAGATATGGATGTAGAATAAAAATCAGGATTAAATTAAGGAAGAGGAAGGGATTAGAGAAAGAATGGAGAAAGAAAAAGTAAAGGAAAATAAGGAATAAAGGAGAGTGAGAGAAAGAGAAGAAATTAAACAAAAAAAGATAAAACTGCAATAAAATAATATATAAATGAAAGAAAAAAGGAAAGAAATAGCTAAGAAAGAGTAGGCTAATGGATGATCAAAGATCATACAAGACGAAAACACTCTGGGAATTAAAAAAAAAGTTGGAGAGAAAGAGAAAGAAAGAGCGACAGAATATATATATATATATATATATATATATATATATATATATATATATATATATGTGTGTGTGTGTGTGTGTGTGTGTGTGTGTGTATATATATATATATATACACACACACGTCAACATATATATATATATATGTGTGTGTGTGTGTGTGTGTGTGTGTGTGTGTGTGTGTGTGTGAGTCAGCCGTCTGAATCTTGAGACCAAAATTGAAATGGCACATTTTGTGTTGGTTGACATTTTTTTTTTCGCTCACACGCTCAGCTGTCAACAGTAAGGAACGTCTGAAGTCGTTTTCTTACTTTTTTCTTCTCATTCCCACCGTTTCTTTTTTGTTTTTTGTTTTGTTTTGTTTTGTTCGTACACTTGCTGTCATCACTGTTGATATTCGTGCTGTTAAAGACGGCAAAATAACTTAAGCGTCGACGATATCTACTTTCTTACAAATCGAGACCGTGTCCCCCACTAGACGCAAACCTTGTTCTCGTGTTACCAACATGAAGAATTAAAATAAAATTAGAATGTCCATGATGAAAATGCTAATTATTCAATGTTGATGGCAGCTAATTCTTTCCAGACGAGAGAATGTTTCTTTATCAAAGTATTTAAGAGAACTTATATTGAAAAAAGGAACGATATTTTTTGGTTTTTAGACAAAAGGCAACTTTTAACTGTAAAGCAGAAACAGGTTTGCCCACTACATAGACTCAGAGAGATCGAGAAAGTTTGGCTTATCCCACTTGACATTAATGAGTACTCTTCAGTAGCTATTTGCCTGCAGTATCATATAACTTAAGGCTATATGGATATTTACTTACTAAATTGTTTTATACTATTTACATTTATTCGGACTATTGTCCTCGTCGCCATATTTATTACAACGATTCAGCTGTTGTACGCTCCGGCCTTCTTCAGGTGGTTGGAATGTCGAACTGAACCTTTTATTTCGCTCACTGGGGTAGACTGTTCTATTTCCACGTGCCAAGTTTAATGGATGCCAGTTATCAGTTATCTCTGGTTAATTTCCCTTTGAAAGTTCTTCACTGCCTTAACCATGTATTGAACTCACACTCTTTTGGGTCCTGTCACTGGATCTAACCAACGCCTTTATCCACTGTGCCATGTGTAAAACGTTGTAATAAATATGGCGACAAAGATGAGAACAATAGTCCGAATAATGTAAATAATGTACATAATACCTCATCTCAGAAATATAGTGACTGAAGGGCCGAAACTTTGTAATAAATATGTCGACAAAGATGACGACAATAGACCGAATAATGTAAATATTGTACATATTACCTCATCTCAGAAATATAGACAGATATTGAAAGACCGAAACGTTGTAATGAATATGGCGATAAATATGAAGACAATAGTCCTAATAATGTAAATAATGTACATAATACCTCATCTCAGAAATACAGACAGATACCGAAAGGCCGAAACTTTCTAATAAATATGTCCACAAAGATGAGGACAATCGCCCGAATAATGTAAATAGTGTATATAATGCCTCATCTCAGAAATATAGACAGATACTGAAAGGGAGAAACATTGTAATAAATATGGCGACAAAGATGAGGACAATAGTCCGAATAAGGTAAATAGTCTACATAATACCTCATCTCAGATATATAGACCGATACTGAAAAGCCGAAACGTTGTAATAAATATGGCGACAAAGATGAGGACAACAGTCCGAATAATGTAAATAGTGTACATAATAACTCATCTCAGAAACAGACAGAAAAATTATTTTATTAACGATATTTGTATTTCGAATAATTATCTTTTGTGTATTTCCTCTTTTAACTTTTACATTTTTATTGCAATGTATCTATGACGTCCTGGGTAAGACGATAAACTTCGTCCAGCAGCAAGGCAAAGAGGTTTTGAGGAGCGTGAAACCACCTCTTAATTGCTAGTGTTCCCAGATCCATCCTAACCCTGGGTGATAGCACCTGTTAGGGTCCCAGTTATGTGTAAGTAGTTAACCCCGAAACTGGGTTAAAAATGGATTTTAATGCCAGGAATATTTTGTAAAAAAAAAAAAAATATATATATATATATATATATTACCAACAATACGTTTTTGAAAAATATTACCAGCAATACTTTTTTTGAAAAAAAAAAATATTACCAGCAATAGATTTTTGAAGGAAAAAATATTACCAGAAATAGCATTTTGACAAAACAAAATATTACCGGTAATAAAAACTTTGTCGACATTAAATAACCCATTGAGGTTGATATGCCGTAAAACACAACAAACCAAACATGTATCTATCACGGAGGTCATACAGTTTCATGTATCTATTCGGAGGTCATACAAAAAAAAAAAAAAAAAAAAAAAAAACCCGCATATTCTCTAGTTTAAATGTTTTCTATGGAATTAGTCTTTAAATGTTTTCTTTTATTTATAATTCCTATTGTTAATACATGAAATTAGTTTTCGTTTGTTCCATATTGTTTTGTGTTACTTCTTTTTTTTATCTGGACTCGTATTGAGTTCGGCAATATTGTTTGTGGGATAAATTTTCCAGGTATCTGTAAATGTTTATTCATTGTGACTAAATATTTACCCAAAATATACCAGTAATCCTTCAACAAGAGAAAGTTGAAATTTCTAGGAAACACGAGGAAAGAAGGATTGGAAAGTTTAACATCCCCAGGACATACGCAGGCAAGATAAACAGAATGAAGCAGATAGAACCTATATAACGAACAGTTTTACACGATGTACAATAAGAAAGAATTGGAGCGTTGTTTTCTAAAGCTTTGTTGTGCAACACCACGGCCACCGTGTAGACGCCTTTTATAGTCATATGCGTAGAAGAGTTACAATAAAGAGGGGAGGTAACTCGAACAGATTTTATCACCACGGGAGTGCTTGTAAAAATGCAAATATTGCTAAGATCTACACAGGATAAGAAGTTGTAGAGAGACATGTACGCCCACGGCTTGACTTGCTACACAGAAAATGAAGTAGGTAGGCAGGTGTTTATATTGTTTAGTTTACAAATGACGAGCAGTGATTGCTATATTTGCGTTGTAATATTCCGTCAGACGAAGAAATTAGTCATTGTTCTAGACAAAGAGTTGATAACTTTGTCACAACTCAATATTATTATTACATATTTTGCTACCCAGACCAGCGTGCTTATCTTTGTTTTTAAACTCTCAACGGTGCGGCCGTTATACTTTCCGACCATCTTCAGGTGTCTGTTTTATTATCGGTCTTCTTATCTGTTCATCTTGGTTGCTATCCACACGACGCTTCTGAAGTTTCCTTATCTGGTCTTTTAAAGATATCTATCGCATTTTGTATGCTATGCGCACAATGTTTGAGCTGTTGTATGCACAGGCCTTCTTCATGTGACTACCGTCCTAGATATCAGTTAACTCTTTCAGCCCTGTAATAACAAAAGTCCGAATGCTTAGGCTTTAAGAAAGCTTTATTCAACTGAGAATACAAGGTTCGCGTATAGTGTCCTTTTAAAGTCCCAGTAAACAGAAACAGCTCTCTAGAGGAGAGTAACGAAACAAGAGATCACTCTTGATTATTCATAACGTTCTACTTTAAAATCCTTTTATTTGAAAAATCAAGATTACAAATTAGAACAGTTTTGTTGACAAGATAAATCTGTTTATATTTTCATTTTCTTGTTTTTTTTTATAAAGCCTTCTGTCTTCAGTGTTGATGAATATTTTTCTTAATGAGTATTTTCCCCATAGATTATTAAAACATAATATCATAAATTCATCGTAATGATAAAAATACGAAGGTGTAGGCTTTAAGAAAGCTTTATTCAACTAAGAATACAAGTTTTGCTAATAGTGTCCTTTTATAGTCCCAGTAAAAAGAAATAGCTCTCTCAAAGAGGAGAGTAACAAAACAAGGGAGACCACTCTTGATTATTCATAACACCATATGTTCCTGAACAATTTTAACCCTTCTGCCTGAGCTCCTGAGTCAAGATTCGCAAATACCTGTATGTAATGTTTCACGGCAGATATAAAAATAGTTACAAGTTTTTACCCACCGTTCAACCGGTGGCTGGGTATTAAGACATTTTTCTCTACCACCGCTTTAGGGCTCAAGGGTTGAGTTAGCTGGAAGAAAAAAAAAGTTTCTAGGGGACGCTGCATAAGCCTATATAAAGTCTCACTATCGAGCTATGATAGACACGCCAGTGTATTCCACTATGGTGAGCCCATGGCAAATTATGTTAATATTTAGGAGTCGTTAATATAGAGCTTTGGTTAGCAAACAAGTTTCGCGAATCATTACTTGTCGAATGGGTTCGAGTGAGGCTTTTTTTTAAACTGTAGTGCAGTATCAGGACCAGATTAGTCAATTGCCAAAGATAACCGCAGCAAACTTCTTACAGAATCCATCTTTAGTGAGCTACGTTTTTGTAATAATGTTCATCCTGCACAAGACCCAAGAGCCACTCGAGGTAGAGAGTTATAAAAAAAGGCAGAGTGGATAAGATAACGGCTAGCCCTAGGCTTGAACAGGTTACGATTGTAGTGATCAGGAAAGTATATTCTTGGGTGTCGGTTCCACTTAGCAGCTGTTCATTGTAAGAAGCTTCTCGAGTAGAATGTAATAGTAGGAGACGAAGGGAATGTGGATGGTTCGCTACTGTGTGCGTGGTATGGTGGATTTTAGCCGTGAAGGTAAGGATTGGTGTAACGACGGAATGTATTTCGTTTGAACATTTTCTAACATTTTTTCGGCGATAGAACAGCGAGAGGATTGCAACTTCTCTGGGGGAGTGGTTGCAGGTTGGAAAATAATTCATCCTTCACAAAGACGCGGATACACTTTTGAACTGTGTGAAGACTGCGCAAGATCTGGCCATATATTTTCGGCTAGATTTGTCTCTTGTAAAGGTAGAGCAGATCAGCAGGCGGAGTCAGGTGCTTGCAGGAACAGTACAGAGAACCGACCTTTTTTTTTGCAAGATCTTGACCGTATGTTCATGAATTCAGCTTGAGATCTGGGTTGATTTTAAGACCCAAGAGGCGCCCAATGTAAGCGGCCTATCTAAAAGAACACACGCTCATCGCGATAAGTGAACATTCATAGTCAACTCGATAATGATTAAACGTCACCAGATTACATCCTCAATAAGTAGCCCTCTAATAAAACCTTGTGCCAGACTAGCGTACATATAGTAAACAACTGCCAGTGCCTAATTATATCAACGTCTCCTTTCAGAAGCGTTTATACTTGTATGTTACCAATTAGTTTAAATAAGCGCCTGTAGACGGCTTCCAGTGTGCATGTCTCTGTGGGAAATTCAGTGAATACATTCCATTATTTAAAAGGTTTCAGCACACCAGCCTACCCACTCTGATTTCACC